AAAAAAAAAAAAAAAAAAGACCTTCCTACTCTCTACTACGTACATCACGAGTACATATTGGGCAACGAAAATGACTCACAAACCAACGAGCCGCACATCCATTATGAAGAAAATGACAACAACATGGAAGTTGTGTGGCTCTTTGCCCAATAGAGAAGGAGTCCAGGCAGATACAACACATTAACGTCTCTTCATTTATCCTCTCTGTCCTTGGCTCCACTGTTTCTGTTTGTTTGCAGGGTGATGTTGAGTTGAAGTGAGAGGCCTGCAGTATCATCTGCAGCTGCTGCAATCGCTCCCTTGAGACCCCACGCTCCACACGTCCAATACGCTCCGACAAATCCAACAACTCTTCATAAGACATGCGATCCACATCTGGTGAAAGCACCGCATCCAGATCAAACCCAGCTCCCCTAGACGAAATGTTTGAACGTCTAGGAGGGGAAGGAGAAGGGGAAGAGGAATGAAAAATAGAGAGTGCTCGTATGGGTAACATAAATTCACTTCTGTTTCTATTGAAAAATGGATGTGGGGATCTCTGTTGTTGTGATTCGTGCTGTGGTTGTCTCAATCCACGTGTAGGGAAGTATATCATGGGTGGGGAATTGATGTGGGAGTTTCTTGACTGGGGACTGAGTCTAGACATCCATTCCTCAAAGAACGGACTGCGCACTCTGTTCCCAACAGTACTCTGTCGGGTTTGTATTCGAGATGTAGCTTCGGCTTCATGGTGATTGTTTTGTTCTTCTTGATGTTGATGTTGTTGTTGGTGCTGGTGGTAATGATGTTGGGGATCTGATTGATGTGAGGTTCGTTCAAACATTTCCCTAAAATTAGTCTCTTGTCCCGGACGCAAACGCCGTGTTAAATGTTGACCCACTAAATCATCCATTGTAACATCAGAAACAGAAGTTGTAATGGGAGCAGAAACTCTTGATGCTGGTGTTGGTGTTATTGCTCTTGTTGATACTCTTTCTCTTTCTCCTCTTGGTATTGTTGTTACTGTTGGTGGTCCTCTTGTTGTTGTGGTTGGGGTTGCTGATCTTGGGGAGGCCTCATGAATTGTTGGCTCCTGTTGCCAAAAGGCGGAATAATGCAGTGGAGGATGATAAAACGGACTGGAGGTGATATGATTATGGACGGCTGTAGTTCTATTTGGCAATAAAGAGTTTCTAACACTCTGCGAGGGTGCGGAGAAGAGAGGCGTGTGTCTGGGCCTCACTGCAGAGTTCTCATTCAAATCACTCATGTTGGGATCCACATATCGATTACGTGCCATGGGAACCCAATAGGTGTTATAACGCAGTAAACCATCATTGTTCCGTACTTGTCTCCCTTCTCTTCGCTGCCCCCACTGTTGTCGTTGCTGTTGTTGTTGAGATTGTCGTTGCTGTCGTCGTTGGTGTTGCTGTTGAGATTGTCGTCGTTGCTGTTGCTGTTGAGATTGTCGTCGTTGCTGTTGTTGGTGTTGACGACGCCAGGCGGCTAGGTGCGAGTCGCCGTCACTTCTCCACGTGCAGGGATGGACCCCACCACCACCTCCTCCTCCACCTGCTGCTGTTGTTGTTGCTGCCGGCCAATCCACATCCATCCAAAAGGGACGCCGCGGTTGTGTTAACGAGCAGTGGGCGGAACAGAAATGATGAGAGCGGGTCGTTGGGGGCGGCACGAGTGCTGAAAACGAAGGCCTCGTCGACGCATATCTACATAAAAATGGGAAATGAGTATGGGTCGCAAGGAAGGGATCACTACCGCCAACTCTTTCATTATTGTTATTAATATTATTATTATTATTATTATTATTATTATCACTATTGTTATTAATATTAGTATTAGTATAAACACTACTATTATTAACATTATTATTATTATTCATATTGACATTGTTGTTGTTGTTGTTTGGGTTATTGGTGTGGTGGTGTACTCCCACACAGACCCGCCCTTGCATGCGTGTGAGAAGTGACTCGCGGTAGGGTGATACTTGCGAGATTGGACCGCATGTGGAGGCAGAACAACAATTACGATTTTCTCCCGCAGCGGCGCCTGGTGGTGGTGGTGTTCTTGCGGATGAGTGATTGCGGTTGGCATCTGAATTTCTTGTTGTGGTTGTTGATCTTCTCTCTGCTAGTGGCTGTATATTAAGTGTAAATGGACGATGCCCAACAGCAATACCAACACGCATGGGATGCGTTTTCGCATGATGAACACTATTCATATTGGCAGCAGTGAAACTTGTGGCCTCAGTACTACCACCACTTCAACGGTGTGGAGAAACAGCACTGCGAGTATGAGTCTTAAACGAAAATCAATGCTGGACAAACCACCCTATTTTTTTTTTGTTTTTGCTTTTTTTTTTTGAGGAGGTGGGGGGTTTGGGTCTTTCTTTCTTTGTTCGTCCCTTTCGCTTACGTGAGTATATATATATATATATATATTTTTTTTTCTTTCTTTCTTTAACTGTGCTAATGCAATTCTATAACCTTTAGACAGAGATGCAACTACACTTCACTAGACTAGAGGGGGCGAGTGGACCTCTTTTCTTGTTGTGATTTGGCCGCTTTGCAGTGTCCACCTCTCTGTTCAGCTATACTTCCTTGTTGTTGTTATTGCTATTGTTTCAATACAGTTAATATACGGTGATTTATGAATGAAATGATAATACAGATGAGAAGAAAAGAACTAAAAAAAAAAAAAAAACACCACTGCTGAGTACTTACTACATCTATATATATATATATATATATATATACATAAAGAAAAAAGAAGGAAAGAAGAGTGGATTAGATGAATAGATATATACTTATCCAAATATATATTTGTAATTGTTGAAGTACAAAGATACCATAAAAGAAACAAAAATCTTATTTATATATATGAATATAGATATAGTACGGCTATACTGCTTATTAGAGTGTACTGTTTACTTTTATTCTTTTCTTCTTTGCCAATATTATATATATATAATATGTACTTCTCAAAGGGTCAACATTGTACAGATCTCTACAGCAGCAAAGCATACAAAAATAACAACAATAAATAAATAAATCGGTATAAATGAATGATGACGAATGAAATTACAACAAATGAATAAAGACTCCCTTTTTTTTTTCTCTCTGTTGAGAGGGCTCTAGGGATGGAATTAAATACAGGCATCAAAACAAAATAATAATGATAATAATAAAACAAACCAGAGAAACATGAAAGATCAACATCAGTAAAAAAAAAAAGAAACAAATAAATACAACACGGCATTACTCATGAATAGGCCTGGATAAAGAAATATAATAATAACAATAATGATAATAATAATAATAATAATAATAATAATAATAATAATAATTTAACAACGGTCCCTTTTTCTCCTTTTTTTTAAAATTCTTTCCGTGCCCTAACTTCATTCCTTCATTATTCTCCCCCTCTTTTTCACGGTTGCACACACCCAACTCATATGCATATATATATATATATATATATATATATACAGAGAGAGAAAGAAAGAGAATAGGAGTAATAAAAGAAAAAAAGGATGTTTTTTTTTCTTTTTTTCTGTTTTCGCCTTATTCGCTGTCAAGAAAATCACATACGAACTCAACACACAAAGAGAAAGAGAAATATAAAAGACCAAAAAAATAAAGGGAGAAAAAAACCAGAGAAAGAAAAATAAATAATCTCACGTAATAGAGAATAGAAAAAACAAGGATCAGAAAGAGAATTAAAAAAAAAAGGAAAAAAATCTTTATGTTCGCACGTAAACGAGGCGTCTCAACGTTCCCCCTCTTACTTTTTACATTATATTTCTTCTTTCATTAACTCCATGGGGAAGTAATGAAAGAAGAGAAAAAGAAAAAAAAAGAAAAAAAAAAAAGACAAGAAAAGTAACAGAATGACATTATTATTGTTATTATCAATTAAATATTAACTTTACTGGGTTGGGCAGCAAACACACAATATTGATGTATGACTCCTTATAGTTGTTTGCCTAAATGTTTTTTCTTTTTTCCCCCTTTTCTCCTTTGTAATGTAAATACATTAAGTCATCATTATTTTTGGAGTTTCACAACTCCTCGTATATTCCTTTTTTCTTTTCATTTTCCTTCTTGTTCTTCTTGTTGTAAAATCTCTTTTTCACCCTTTTTTTTTCTTCTCCATTGAAAAGAACCAAAAAACTCTCACACACACACGAAAGATTTCATTCCTTCATAGAAATAAACAAATAATGGAAAATGGGAGAAACAAAAGCACCATCATCGTCTTCAATCGATGATAGCAACGATCATAGTAGTAGTAGTAGTAGTAGTAGTAGTAGTAGTAGTAGTAGAAGTTCTAACAAATAATAGCAATAGCAAAGTGTTATATATTCTTCTTCTTCTTTTCATTCTATTCCCATTACGTCCCCCTTTTTTTTCTTTTTTTTTTTTTTCTTTACTTTCTTTACAAATCATCACCATCAATGATATCTGTGTTCACCGTTTTACTTGGCGCAGGTGGTGTGGGTAACTTTGGCCCAACCGCCTTCTTTGCCATCATCTTCACTGGCATCTTTGCCGGCATCTTCCTTGGCCCCTCTGCGGCTGTGTTGACTGGTGGAGTGATGGTGGATATGAGTGGAGTTGTTTCTGTCGTTTCGGTTAACGGCGGTGCTGGGGGGCGTGCGGCCAATCCACCAATGAGAAGTGAACTTTCTTTTGAGCTCAACGCCGGACTTCGTCGAGAGGCCGGTTTAAACACTTCACTGGCCTCTTCCTTCTGCGTGAGGTGAGAGGTGAGTTCGGCATCATCGTCAAAGAAACGGGCATCCCGCTTACGACTGCGTTTACGGTAGAAATAAACACCCACGCCGACTCCAATCAACACCACCACCACAGCAGCTATCACTCCTCCCACAACAGCTCCGACATTAGAAGGTTTAACAGCGGAAGGAAAGTTAAATGCAGGTAAGGGATAGGCAATATCATAACCAATAGGATTTTCATAACCATTGGTAACAAAACTCATCGTTACAAATGAACAAGAGTTTTGAAGAGTTTCATTATCTTCTGTTTGGCAACGATGAGCTGCTTCTTCTCTCACACAAACGCCAACAGGGGAAGCGGCATCCATGGTTTGTTGTTTCCAATTGTCCATCATGTATGTAATCACATCGACGCAAAAATCTGCCAAAGCATTTAAGTTTTCCTGACAATTTTTGATAAAAAGGAAATCTGCCGGACAAGTTAATTTAGACTCCCTACCATTTGGATAAATAGATGCAATCGCAATGTTTACACAATTTGCAAATGATGGAATATGTGCATGCATAAGACTAAGACACTGTGCAGATGGCCTTACCGGTTTAGAACCACCACCATCCGGGTAAATAGGTGTCCAATCATCTGGGGTCTTATCTTCTGGTTCTCCAAGATATTCATATAATGGCATTGGATTTTGTGGACGCAGTAGTGATTGCGGAACTTGTCGACAGGTCGCATCTTCAGCCACAAACGAACAAACAAAAAATGGGGCATTCGCTAAAGAAACTCCATTTGTTAACGGACGTGAGGCATAAACACCACTTAACCAAAACATGAGACCAGAAGTAAGGTCTAATACACCTGTACCATTATCACTGTCAAATAATCCAATAGGGGAATCTGCCGTTAAAAAGGCTTCTTCATGATATAACACAGATTTTTCTGAAACCCAACCTGGAGTTAAAGAGGTACCTTCTCGTAGATGTTTAAAAGAAAAGGTACCAATATTAGAAGAGAAAATAACTTGTCCATAAGAAGTACGTATAGGTCCCATGCGATTACGTGGAACTGATGTCATTGGGATAATGAAACTGACATTCCCCATTCGACGCAATGCCCATGGTGTATTTAAATTAGATCGAAGCGATTGTATACCTTTTAGTGTGGCAACATATAAAGTACGATCAACTCCCAAAACGGGTCCCACAATATCGGTTTCAAAGATATATCCCCAAACATATCTTCCTGTAAGTAAATCATAAACATTTAAGGTTGATTGAACTCCAGTATATAAAAAGTAACCATAGGTAGATATACTACCAACTACAGCTCGAAGAGAATAAGTTCGAAGTCGTTTCCATGAAAATGGTTTTAAACTCTCTATACCATATAAAGAAAAGGTTAGATTTCTATTCTCCGTATTGGGTGTGATCGCAGCAAAGAGAAGATAATTCGCACTACCCACCTTTGGCCGTAAAGGAAATCCAGCAGTAACACCACCTGTTGCTCCTTCAATCTCTAAGGAGAGAACATCTGGTACCGTAATCACTCCACTGTTATTCTTCACATCAAGATCAATAACATGAACACATGACCATCCTCGTAATGTAACGTAAACCATAGTCCCATTAACAACAACTGTACCTTCAGTAGAATCAGGCGCAACGGCACATCTTTCGAGTTGGAAACTTCTTGCAAGAACACCAGTTCGTTTATTCACAATAGCCGCCGCACGACTTCCACCAGAAACCAGAATAAAATCTGAAGAATCTAAAACAACAGGTTTAAATACGGCTTGTACACCACCAGCATTACTGAAACGATTATTCCAAAGTACATTTCCATTACTGTCTAAGCATCCAATAGTTCCAGGTTGGGATACAAACACCCGTTGTTGTTTATCAATAATAGCTGTTCTCGTCTGGGAAACTCCTTGAAGAGCAAAGGAGACATTAGAAACCATAAGACCTATAAAATGGTTACTCTTGGTTGAAGTGTACACAAAAGATCCTGAAGTAGCATATGGAGCTCCAGCTTTATAATCAATATTGCCCTTTCCTGTCCAGAGAGGTGTGGGATTTGTAAAAGAAGTATTAACGGCAAAACTGAAAGAATTTCCATACACGACGACACTTGAAGATGTTGGAACATCATCAGGTCCTTGTAGTATCATATATCCAGTAGAATCAGAATCTGCAGAGAATATTAGTGAACTTGTGGTATTACCAAAACGTCTAAAAAAGTAATCAAAACCTGCGTTACGGTAAATGATACCCAAACTTGAAATAGCTGCAGGAACAAAATCTTGTATGCTTTGAGAAGTTGGATCACCTCCTTTTATAGGCCATGTTTTGTATCCATTTCGATAAGTAAATACAAAGATTGGATTTGCTGTACTTGGGTCATGTGGATATCGAATTCCACAAATAGTTTTTCCTGATATTGGTTCCGTGTGATTTACAATATTTGTCATACCATCTAAATTAAAAGCTACCATATAACTACTAGATCCTGTACTTCCACAAGCAATACCCACACTAAGGGCTTCATTCACTTCATAAGATGAAAAAGTTGTTTGACCAGCTGGACCTTTAACAGTAGCACCAATTGGTACAAGTTGAGAGTAATGCATACTTCGAATTCCCACATTACTACAATAAAATATAATACGTTCTTTCTTTGGAAGAGGAATCATATCATACGTTTCCGTACATTTCGTAGATGCCGCAATAGGTGGAACGACGGCAAAGGTAGATAAACTTACAGCATCAAAATTATTATCACTATTGATATAATATCCATTTCCACGTAAAACTATATTGGTACTACTTTTCCCAATTCGAGATACGGTACCTTGCAATCCTCCGGAAGCATTATAAAAGTTTGTCGTTTTACCACATCCAACACCCACAATAACTTTTTCTGCAGAAACAGCATACAAACTAAGTACATTACATCCAGTGGCATTCAATGGAAAAAAAGTACTCTGGTAAAAGGTTCCATGATAAGCACGTGAAAGGTATACAAGTCTTCCTATTAATGCCGCCGCCCATCCATTTTCTCTTCCACTGGGAATAGAAACAAGTGCTTGAGAGGCTCCACGTAAACCATATAATGAACCCGATACCCATTCTTCACTTGTTGAGAATATAATAGGAGTATTGGAACTGTTAGGAGGGGAACAGTCATTTGGATGATCACTAGCCGCATAATTATACGGCCTGTATGATGGCAATTGTGGAAGTTTAGGTCGATTGGCACTTACACTACTAAAATAACGGGCATATGTCGTAATATTGATAACGGTTGACATGGTTCCACCAAATCCAATAATTTCTCCATTAGAATAAACAAAGATTTCAGTACTCTCTTCTGCAGCATTAGGAAAATATAATAAGCTGGCACCTGTAAAAGGATTTAAAAATATCACATTACCTGTTTCACTACTAGCGACCAAAAGCATACCATCACGAAGAACTGCAGCACTTTTCACACTGTAAAGATCAGGACGTTGCCATAATATTTTACCTGTAAAAGTATCAAAAGCATAAAAAGTTTGATAAGTTGTTACAAAACCAATACCATATTGTTCATCTATTACTACTTGAGAATGATAAGTTGTACGACCAGTAACAACTTCACGTTGCACAAATAGTTTTAAACGATCTGGACAAGGATATGTATATTCTGCAAGATCCAATATACTGGGTCCTCTTTCTGTAGATATAAATACACTGTTATTATAATATGTTACTGGAGCTCTTGAAGGTGCTGATAAGGTATAATTCCATACAGGAAGTAAAAATGCCACCTGAAAACAATCCACCCTATTTCCATTAGAAATAACAATAAATATACCATCACCAGTATCACGTGATGAGAGAGAAGAGATATAACTTGGGGCATTTAAAGTCCTAGAAAGAATAGGACTTCCATCATATCCAACAGAAGATAATTGATTGGTTGTAAGAACAGCAAAACTTTTTCCATATCTTACATTCTCTACACCCTTATATGAACTAGTAAGAGTTGCCAATAGAGAAGGTGGTGAACCTTGTTGACCAAGAACGAAAATACAATCACGTGTAGATCCACTATACCAAACCACAGAGAATCCAGACACAGAATCCGTACGTGAAATACTTTTAAGACTCGTACCTACACACGCTGCGGGAAGTGAATATTCCATTCCTGATCCTGTTTCTCCACTTATACTACTGATAGTACGTGAACCAAAAAATGCAGCACGAGTACCTGTTACCAAAGATGATAAAATTTCTGTTTCTCTAGAAAGACCAAAAGGTTCAGTTCTTCCTGTTGGAGAAACAGAAACCAAATTCACATTTGTGATGTTAGTTAAATCCCAACCTGCCATGAAAAGAGTACCATTTGATTTTAAACCAACTGCTGCAGATGCCACAGGAGCTCCCCAGTAGTTCATATCAACTGGTATAATACCAGCAGAATATCCAGCACCAGCAAGAAGGAATCCATCTGCAAAAGAAAGTTGCATTCCACGTTTTAGTCCAAAACCAAAAGCAAAATGTGCTGAAGCAGATGATGGTGTACATGTCACTAATGATACATATCCATTCCACATAAAAGCATAAAGAGTATTACTAGTGACTGTTAACATTTTAAAGTTTTGTACTTCATTTTTGACTTCATCATATCGTATTGGTAATGATATATTTGTAAATCCATTTCCTTTAGCTGCATCTAACATAATAATACCATTTGTAGTACCAATAACAATATTCGCATTCCCAGCAGCGGTATAACCAAGTGCACTAGGCTTAGCAGTCTCTCCATTTAAATCATTGCTCCATTCTACCAATGCCGTTTTACTAGCAGGATTAAATGTTAAAGAAATTGCCAAGTTTTCAAAAGTAACAATAATGTTTTCAGTAGATTTTCCAGAAATAGCTCCTACAGGTTTACCAGCTCCACTTGAAATCATAATAGTTGTTTCAAACAATTTAGCTGAAGAAGAATAATAAACTGCCTTATACCCTTCAGATGAAGCCACAACTCCAGCAAAATTACTTCCTGCAGATGCAAAAGCAGCATTAGGAGCATCTTGAAAGGTTAATACACCTCCAGTTGCATCTATTACGGCTACTCCAGATCCTCCATCGCATATAATATAATTTCCTGAAGGTCGAATAGTATTACATGAACCCACACTTGCTTGCCAAGCTTGAGCTCCTGTTGAAGGTTGTAATGCGGTGACTCTTTGAGCGTTTAAATATATCCATTGATTTTGACTTGGGCGACTAATATAAGATGGTAAACTATCACCAAGTCCACTTAATGATATTGGATTACCAACTGCTTGACATGTTGACCAAGAATAAATTGTTAGTCGACTGGGTGTAAATATAAAAAAGTTATTACTATCAAACTCCAAAAAATTAGCAGTATTTCTTACAGATCCTGTTGAAATAGTCCATTCACGTATTGGAGTTCCTTGTGGATCACTCACTTTAATACAACGTGCAGTATACACAAATTGATTTTCACGTTCTTCAATAGTTCCAACAATAGCTCGTGATCTATCAGCTGATATTAATGCAGAATCTCCCTTTAGAGAAAATGTCATTGGAGGGGCACTTGCCATTATTGTATCTCCTCGAGGAAGACGAGGAGGTAAAGGATTAATAGGACTTTCACCTGGAACATATACATCCGTTGTTGAAGCTGCAGGACGTTTTGCCTGATTTGGAATCTCCACATTTGGAAGATTTAGTGCACGAAAACTCACCATTCCACCTGTTCCTTCAGGGGAAAAGGTTAAATAATTATTACCCCAAATAATAGGACCATTAAGTTGATTGGGAGTATCTGAAATACTAGTTAATGCCGTTCCATTATTTTGGGTATATACATCAGACATTTGTGTTAATTTTGGTGCAGGCGTTTTTATACGAACCTCCACATATGCAGGACCGGTTTCCGCCGTATTGCTCGAACCAGCATCTTCTGGGGAATAAATCACAATTTCAGTTTGGGCATTTTCCGGTAATTGCGTAGTGCGAGGAGTTGTTTTCCACAATAATGTACCCGTAACAGCATCATAGGCATATAAATTGGTAGAAGCGTAAACAGCAACCATTCCTTGTCCAACTCCAGCAGTTAGTAAAATAACACCATCACCTTCTACAGCTTTTTGAAAAAGTACACGTGATGAACCATCATCATCTTCACGGTATTGAACATCAAAGCGGAATATATTACGTTGATCTACCACAAATACTGTATTATTATAATATGCCATATGAATAACAGGAGCTGTAAAACTCTGTGGAAGGACTTGTGTCCATACAATGATATCACTTCGAACACTTCGACAAGTAATATTTCCACTCAAGATGTATACAAAAACATTAGATCCCACTACATAGGAACCAATATTCGCCACCTGATATACAGATCGTGTACCTCCATCAAAAAAACTTGTAAATGCTTGTAATGTTTTGGATGAAGTTGTATATTTATACCCACTATATCGTGTTGTTCCAACCACAACGCCTCTTTCTACTTGTTGAGTACGTGAAATACGAGGCTCCAATGTATCATTAACTTCAAAAAGACATGATGATGTTCCTCCCAACACAACATGATAATCTGTAAAAGTACCAAAATGTTGTAAAGATGTCATAAAGGTTACTACTCCTTGATTTCCTTCTCCTGCCCCAACACAATCACTGATATTTAAATCCGATACCTTCGATCCATCCATTGCTGAAAAAACAGAAAGAACTCCTGGAGTTGTAACAGCGGCGATATAACGTTTACGATCTCCAAAAAACACTGTAAATGGCTGTGCGGAGGTGACATTACGAGGAAGACTAGTAGGACCTGCCGTTGGAGCCATAGGATCACGTCCACCTTCTGTACCAGACACTGTATGTTGATAAAAATTGAATAACATATTTTGAGATGATGAAACATCTTCCGTGAGAAGGGCAAATCGTCCTCGATAATAATCTCCTGAAGGAGAAGTTCGATAAACTTGTAAAGTAGATGAACTGTATAATAACAATGGGTTTAAATCCACACCTAGGGCATTAGTTCCTTTCATCAACGAAATAGATCCTGTACCACTGATAAATCCAAATGGTTGAGTGTTTGATAAGGATACTGAAGGCCAAGTAACCGGATAATATGGATGGTCATTAGATAAATCAACTAAAGTATAGTGACCCGCATCCTTACATCCAACATAAGCCAAAGATTCATCAAATGCTGTTATAGCAGACATCTGATCTGCACCTGAACAAAATCCAGCATTATTCCATAAAGCATTATAGGTTGAATTAGAACCATTTGATAAAGTGTATGTACTAATATTTCCCTCCGTTGAAATAACACGAACAGCAGAAGCTTGAATAAGGTGATATGGATTATAATCAGAGTAAGAGGGTGATCGTAGTCGACGATACCATTCACCAGCAAGAGCATTTAAATCACGTAATGGAGAAAAGAGAAGACCAGGAACGGTAGAGATTTGTGCAATCCACAACGGTGTTGTTGCCTCTGGAAAACCCATATAATCAATAACCATTAATAAATCTGAAGTTTGCACTACTAACATATTTGTATTACCAACTGTTACCATATAAGCGCTAGAGACACTAGTAAGCTGAGAACCGCGAATTCCTGTGTCTACTGTCCCTCCCTTTACAGATTCCAGTGTATATGCGTTAACAACTTCAACTGTTACCTTTACTGTAGTTTCAAATACAGCTTGTACGTATGCGATAAGTGGAGCTGAACTGTTAGCATCATTTACATTAGTGTGTGTAATATTTGCACCTCCTGTAAAGGATAAAGTCACTGTTGCGTTTGGTGTGACACCAGATGCGAATGTTGGTAAATAATAACTATCAAGACGTAGGCCTGCACCCAATTTTGTTTCAGTAACAATATATGCCTTTGGAGTGGGTTGAGTGTCAGTTGTAGCCTCCCATGTTGATAGATAGAAATCTGAAATAGCATCACGTTGACAACATACAGCACTTTCAGATGAAGTATACAATCCCACACAGTATAAATCACCTTGTCGTCCCAACGCTAATACAGCATCTTCTCTTGTATCTGTACTGCTACCACGAACAACTACAACGGGGTGAGGATGAGATACGGAAGAGGGAATAAAGGTTTCGCCTGTTTGAACGGGATCCACACGAGGATCACTAGTAGCTAGATCAATCTGAATATCATAAAATGTTGTCCCACTACCACAAAATATAAAAGCTCTCGGTCCTTGGTTGAAAAATGCGACTCCGGTAGGTTCAGTACATCCTGATAAACTCGGTACATTATACTCTTTCATAGTTGTTCCCCTTGCACTACGGTATCGAAGGAGTTGGGCATCAGAGAGTACCTCCACATATTGCAACATACTGCCATTCCCTGCAAATAGCGGTATGGAAATACTGTTTCCCACCATTGCTGCTCCATTTGTGGTTTTCCACGAAGTGGGTCCAACGATACTACCAGCATGCACACCAGCTGAGGTAAAGGTAATCAACAGTACTAGTAGTAGTGGTAGTAGTAGCAATAAGGAAACTCTTGCAGGGGTTCTCAATAATGATGCGAAGGAATACGAAGTTGGCGAAAAGGAAATCATGTTCGTTCTTTTCGACTCCATATAGAGAGAAATATAGATAGATAGAAAGATAAATAGAGGGGGAAAAAAATCTATACACGTGCGTGTCCCTCCTCTTGTCAGATTTTCTTTTTTCTTTAAGTAGTTTCTCTTCTTCTTCTTCTCTCAAATGATCGTTTTCGTTATGTTTAAAGCGTATCTTCTTTGTTTTTGTTTTTGTATTCCCTTTTTTTTTTATACCTTTTTACTATCCCCAGCCTTTTTTTTTTTTCTTTGTTTGACTCACACTTCTTAACTGGTACTCACCTTTCTTTTTTTTTTCTTTTTTTTTTCTTTTTCACGTGACACAAAAAGTCACCCCTACTTTCGCTAAGGAGTAAGCTAAAATAAATAAATAAATAATAACACCAATAAATACAGTCAATAAAAATAAATGACAGAAACTACTAGTATTCTTGTTCGGTAGAATGACTGGTTTGATTCACTATATATATATATGTTTGCCCCAGTTGCACAAATACACACTTAAAACACGCAAAGATAATAAGAAATGAAAGCGTGAAGGGATTAAAGTCCTTTCCACTTTTCTTTTACTTTGCTGTTGAGTGTCAAAAACAGTCCTTGTTTGCTAAAAAAAAAAAAAACAAATAAAAAAACAAATAACAACTCTTTGGTGCCGCGCCCGTTTTTTTTTTAGAGTTCCTCTGTTATTCCTTTTCTTTCCCTGACGGCAGCACAGAGATTTTGTGTGTGTATGGTCTTTAAATGGCAAAAGAATAAAAAAAAAAAGAAAAAGAAAAGAGAAAGCAAAGAATGAATAAATTAGAAAAAAAAAAACATGTAGATATCATTGAGAAAACCAAAATATATATAAATGGGACGTATTATTGTCCGCAAAAGAAAAAAAAAAAAACAAGAATAACAAAGAAGGAATTAAAAGAAAAAATATATATATGAGAAGAACTTCACAGAATGCTTCTGCTGCAAAAGGAAAGGAGGGATGAAAGAAAAAAAGAAGAAACACCCTCACACAAGGTATAGAGAGATAGAGACAGATAGAGAGCAAGAGAGAAAAGAACAACTAATGTCAACATGAAATACATCTGAAGGATTCATTCAAAGAGCACATACTGCTGCTTCTCCTGAAACCAGGAAAAACTTTACAAAAAGAAGAAAAAAAAAAAAAACACAAGTCTAAGGAGGAAAATACAATGACCTCCTCTTTTCTGATATCGTTCTTTCTATTTGTCTTTCTCTTTCTCTCTATCTCCCCTTTTTTCTTTCCATTTACCTGCTCCTTCTGCACTTTCCTGTTCTCCTCTCATCTAACGCCGCCACATTGTGTACATCTACTTTCCCACCAACAATACCACCACTACTACTAGCACTCACAGTCACACTCATTCACATTCTCCGGTGTATATAAATATATGTATGTGCATGTCCAATTAACTCCGGAGTTGCATTGCTTTTGTTTGCAAGTATGGAACCATGTTATCTGGTAGCTGTGAGACGATATAGGCACGGTAGTTCGCGTCATCCTCCTCCATGGCTTGTCGTTGACGCTCACGCGACTCCATATCGTCCGCCCGAGTGCGCCGATCATTCTCACGCCGCTCCTCCGCCTGCAGCCGGTGAATTCTCTGCAGTCTCTCCGCTTCTGCACGCCGTTCGCGGGCCTCCGCCTCCCGCTCTGCCGCCACCCGCGCGGGGTGTGCCTGCATCTCCTGCCTGTACGCCTCCGCCTCCGAGTCGTGAATGAAACCCCACTGGCTCGCCGCTGCTCGTCTGGTGAGACCATTGTCATTCGCCTCCGCCTCTTCGGGATGTTTGAGGGCCTCCACTTGTTGTCGTCGCTGTTCCTTTTGTCGTTCTCGTTGGCGGTCTTCAGAGGCAGCGAGACGCTCCAGCATACTGACCCCACGCCGCTCAAACACTTCCTGTGTGCGGGCCTTGTGTTGCATGCGTTCATTTTCTGCGGCAAAGGCGAGAAAGCCCTGTTCCCGCCGCTTTTCGGAGAGTTCCTGTTTGCGACGCATCTTTTCCATGACTTCACGTTTCATGGATTCAAGCTTTTCTTCCTGAAGAGCACGCGCCGCCTCATCCCCTTCCTCACGCTGGATACGCTGCAGGAGTCGATCATGCTTGCTGAGGGGAGGTTTGGCGATACTGCGGTTGTATTCATGTATGCGGGCCATTAATTCCCGATTCTCCAGAAGGGCTTCAAGATTCTCCTGTTTTTCTTCTTCCGCTGCGCGACGTGCCTCTTCTCCACCTTCCTTCTTCTCCGCACGCATCTTTTTACGTTCTTGAATTTGAAAGAGCATTTGCTGCAGGTGTTCATTTTTCTCAGCTACATTGCGGGAACGACGATCAAATTTCTCCTGCTCCTCCTTGGCAAGGTATTCATCCTTGCCTTGATCCATAAGTTCCTTCTCGAGGCGAGCCTCTTCCTCTTCTTTTCTTTTGAGTTCGTTTTTAAAAGCAATCTGATTCTCACGATCCTTAATTGCTTCATTCAACATAACCAAACTACGTACATTACGACCACGAGGGTCTTCTTTCAATAATTTTAACGCTAATTGCGCTTGTTTCTGTCGTCGTTCTTCTTCCTCCTGTTGAGCTCCTAATTCTAGTAACATATTCTTACGCCTCTCTTCTTCTTCTTTTTCCGCCTGACGTCGACGTATAGCTGCCTCTTGTTTTGCCTGTAATGTGTCTGGCCAAAGATTTGTGCGAGCCTTTGATGCCTCACGTCTTCTCTCGTCCTCCTGTTGTCTGTAGGCATTATGTGCATCCTCGTCATCAATGGCATTCGCAAGGTGACGAATGGCGTAGAGTTCACTTTCAGCCAAGATGCCAACTCGGTATAATAGTCTTCCTTGTGCCACAGCATTTGCAAGGCCTACTTTACGCTTGGGATCTACACGTGCACGGGTCATGGGAACCGGAACGGATGCTGGAACTGCAGGCATTCCCCTCGTTTTACACAAGATGATACAAAGGGAGGAGAGGGGGGAATAATATAGCGTTGATAATTTTGCTGTTGTTGTTGTTGTAATAGTATAGAGTAATAGTAATAGTTGCTAATAATAATAATAATAATAATAATAATAATAATAATAATAATAATAATAATAATAATAATAATAATAATAATAATAATAATAGTGAAACGCGAGCAATAGCAATGGAATACGTGTAGTAAATAAATACAATAAAAAGAAAGGAGAATATGGTGTAGAATCTCTATAAAACTGTAGTTTTAATGGTGATGGCGATAAAGCAGCAAACTCGTTTTTCTTTTTTCGTTGCTGCGTGAATTAATCAACACCAACCAATAAAACTAAACACCACCTTCAGAATAAACTTACCCTTAAAAAGAAAAAAAAAAAAAAAA